AGAGTAGGTGCTGTTCTGGAAACCACCAGATGGTATTCAACAAATGTAGTAATCTACTGTATATATTAAAGAGTTTGTTTGCTTGTTTGTGAAAATAAAGTCATACTTCACGATTACCTACAGAGACCAAATTTTTCATAAATAATCCTGCCACTTAAATTTGCTGCATGTACTACTTTGTACACTGCAATATGCTGGGTGAAAGGTTGAAATAATTATTTTTGTTTTTCTTCTGAAAAAAGTCATGACTATTATGATTAGAGTTCATAAAAAATGTTTGCTAACAAAATTAAAATCAAGTTGCCCATTCAACTGTCTTTTTAGTGCAAAGAAAAATTTTACTGTTAGAAATCACAAAATAGTTCAAATTTGTCATGGAAAAAGTAACGGCAGCTTAAATTTACGGTGTATGGTAATTATTCAATAAAATGAATAATGTTTGAAGTTGAAATTCTATCAATTTAAAACTGTTCTTTTTCCTCCCTTTTGCGAGCACATTAATAAAACATTCTATTACATATATTTAATGTATTGAACTTTCCTATAAGTGTAATCTATGCAAAATGACTTTGCCTGGTCAACGACAGGCCTTACCTGCTAGTTAAAAATAAATGAACTAACCTCATCCGCATGCAGTGGGCAGTGCAAGGTTTATGCATGGCTAAGTCCCATTTAAGACTTATTTTTGAGGATTTACACTGACCCTGTGCAAAAGAGAGAATTTCATCCAAATGAGAGCAAAGGATCAATAGAGCCCAGCATGTATGAAGAATTTTTTTCATGGGTGCAGACATCCGTGGATAGAAATCAGTATCTGCTGATCCTCAAGACTTTAGTCTCAGGAAACACAATGACCAAAGGAGATGGTTGTCATGCTGCCACCCCCAGGAGCCAGTGCTGTGCACTGGAAGATCCTTGGGACTGTGCAGCTGAACTGCTCCCTGCTGCATCTCTTGTCTGGGGTTCAGCAAAACCAGAGGTGAAAAGAAGGTCCCCAACGAAACTGAGTATAACTGTAGATACTGTGGTAGTCAGCTTTGCATGTGTCCTCTTGAGCTCATGTAATTTAATTATATTAGAAACAGCTGGTGTCCTATGGTTAGAACTATGTTTGCCTGGGAGGAGGAAATGAACTATGTATGAAATATATCCAATGTAGTTTTTTTGTTTCATGAAGGTTGGGAACTTTTCCAGAACTTTTTAACCAGAGTAAACTTGATTTAGAGCTTCTCATTTGTCCAAGACTGTTAATGTTATTGTTTGTTTCAGAAACACATACCACTGAAGAGAACATAAGAACAGCTACACTGGGTCAGACCAAAGGTCCATCTAGCCCAGTGTCCTGTCTGCTGACAGTGGCCGATGCCAAGTGCCTCAGATGAAGGGAATAGAACAGGGAATCATCAAGCAATCCCTTTCCCCTCACCCATTCCCAGCCTCTGACAGAGCCCATCCTAGGTAATAGCCTTTGATGGACCTACCCTCCAGGAATTTATCGAGCTCTTTTTTGAACCCTGTTAAAGTCCTGGTCTTCACCACATCCTCTGGCGAGGAGTTCCACAGGGTGACGTTGTGCTGAGTGAAGAAAAACTTCCTTTTGTTCGTTTTAAACCTGTTAATTTCATTTAGTGACCCCTAGTTCTTATGTTGTGGGAACAAGTAATTAACTTTTCCTTATTCACTTTTTCCATACTAGTACTATTTAATAGACCTCAATCATATCTACCCTTAGTCTCTTTTTTAAGCTGAAAAGTCCCAGGCTACGTCTACAGTGGCATTATCTTGCGCAAGAACTCTTTTGCGGAAGAGTTCTTGTGCAAAAATTCTTCCAGAAAAGAGCGTCTACACTGGCATGTGCATTTGCACACGCGATGTGCTTTTGCACAAGAGCATCCATGCCAGTGTAAATGCTCTCTTGCACAAGAAAGCTCTGATGGCCATTTTAACCATAGGGCTTCCTTACACAAGAAATTCATGTTGCCTGTCCTCACTGGGCTCTTGCACAAGAACAGTTGCACAAGAGAACTTATTCCTGAGCGGGAGCATTAGAGTTCTTACACAAGAAGCCCTGATTTCATACATTAGAACTTGCGCAAGTCAGTGTACTTGCGCAAGAACTCGTGGCCAGTGTAGACAGGCAGCAAGTTTTTGTGCAAAAGCAGTTGCTTTTGCACAAGATCGTGCCAATGTAGACAAAGCCCCAGTGTCTTAAACTCTTTTTATATAGGACCCATTCCAAACCCCCAATCATCTTTGTTGCTCTTTTCTGAACCTTTTCCAATGCCAAGATATCTTTTTTGAATTGAGGTGACCACATCTTTACGTAGTAGTCAAGATGTGGGCATACCATGATTTTATACAGAGGCACAAAGATATTCTCTGTCTTATTCTCTATTCCTTTTTTAATGTTTTTTTGACTGCTGCTGCACATTAAGTGGATGTTTTCAGAGAACTATCCACAGCGACACCAAGGTCTCACTCAAGTAGCTATAGCTAAATTAGTCCCCATCATATTGGATGCATAGCAGGGATTTTTTCCATTAGGCATTATACATTTGTCAACATTAAATTTCATTTGCCATTTTGTTGCTCAGTTTTGTGAAATCTTTTTGAAGCTCTTCACAGTCTGCTTTGGTCTTAACTATCTTGAGCAGTTTAGTATTGTTTGCAAATGTTGTCACCTCACTGTTTACCCCTTTCTCCAGATTGGTCCCCGCATGGACCCTTGGGGAACACCACTAGTTACTTTTCTCCATTCTGAAAACTTACCATTTATTCCTATCCTTCGTTTCCTGTCTTAACCAGTTATTTTAACCTATGAAAGGACCATCCCTCTTATCTTTACTTAAGAGCCATTGGTGAGGGATCTTGTCAGAGGCTTTTTGGAAATCTAAGTACACTTATATTTACTAGATCCACGTTGTCCACGTTTGTTGACACCCCCCCCACCCCCAAAGAACTCTGGTAGATTAGTAAGGCATGATTTCCCTTCACAGAGCCCATGTTGACTTTTCCCCAGCAAATTATGTTCATTTGTGTCTGACAATTTTATTCTTTACTAGTTTTAATTACTTGTTTTAACTAATTTGCCTAGTACTGACATTAGACTTACCAGTTTGTAATTGCCAGGATCACCTCTAGAGCCTTTTTTAAGTATTGGTGTCATATTAGCCATCTTCCAATCATTAGGTACAGAAGATGATTTAAAGGACAGGTTATGAACCAGTTAATAGTGTTGCAATTTCACATTTGAGTTTTCAGAATTCTTGGGTGAATGCCAGCTGGTCCCGGTGACTTGTTAGTGTTAAGCTTATCAATTTGTTCCAAAAGCTCCTCTAATGACACCTGAATCTGGGACAATTCCTCAGATTGGTCACCTAAAATGAATGGCTCAGGTTTGGGAATCTCCCTAATAGCCTCAGCTGTGAAGACCAAAGCAAAGAATTCATTTAGTTTCTCTTATCTTTCAGTGCTTCTTTTGCATCTCGACCGTCTGGGGGTTCCACTGGATTGTTAGTAAGCTTCCTGTTTCTGATATACTTACACATTTATGTATAACAGGTTAACTGATTAAATGGGATTTTATACCCCTAGCCTGAACTCACTTCCTTTATGCCATCTACCAGAACAACTTGCAGTACTAAAAAGAAACTGACAAAATCTTACTAAAAATAAATGCATACCACAGTACTCACTATTTCACACACACACACTACAACACAGCTCTACTCAAAAAGAAGGTGCAATACAAAACATACCAGAAGACTTTGCTTTACATATAAATCAAGCAAGTACTTTAATTGACACATGCTGATCCAAAGGAAAATCTTGTACCAAAAAGAAAAAAATTGAATGAACATGGATGAAAGTTTCTCTGGATTTGGTAAACAAACTGTACAAGCAGTTATCAGGAAACATGGAAAAATAGTTTGGGTGCTGCCAAAGAGTTACGAATTCTAATGTAAAAGAAAACTCCCAGTTAAGAGCCAAATGTTAGCTGTTTTCCAAACACGTGTCTATTAAATGCATACACACAGGTAAGAAAAAAAATGAACACACTTACTCCACATGATGTAAATCATATAGTACCTCTCATCTCTCTACTCAAAGGTATATTCAGTCCTTTACACCACAAATGCCACAATACATCTGACAGCAGCGTATGAGCAGGTTAAACGAAAGAATCTCAATTTACTTTGGTTTAGTTCTTAAATAGTTTATTGCTGGGAGGTAGCACATTTGTGAAAGGGGCAGTGAGGGCAGAGAAGGATCCCATTTTATAGTTGGTACACAAACATCTAGTCAGAGCTCAAGTTCTGGAGGAAATGTTAAAAGATAAATTTTCCTGCTACAACTGAGTGAGTCTCAATACCATGGAAGGTACAGTTTCTCTGATAGTTTTATACTACTGGTGTGAAGTGATTGATTTATTCCCACTAGATGCCAACTGCCGTCACAGTGGGAATGCTGGATAAATAGCATCTGGGAATATCCAGAGAACTAGAATTTTAGTTTAGATGAATGCTGAATTCTCCCCTTTAACACATGATTCATGGTGACGTTAAATGCTAAAAGAATCAATATCCAGAGTTACTCATTTTTAATAGACAGGGACAGTGAAAAAAACAAGTAGGTATTGGTTCAGAAAAGGGAATTCAGAGTTACATCCTGCGCTAGGCTATGGGATTCTAGCTGTCACATCCTTCTTCTTTCCTTGTATTCTGAAATATTTATAATGCATTTTTTTTTCAAATCAAAGCAAGTATTGCTAAAAGAATCAATATCCAGAGTTACTCATTTTTAATAGACAGGGACAGTGAAAAAAACAAGTAGGTATTGGTTCAGAAAAGGGAATTCAGAGTTACATCCTGCGCTAGGCTATGGGATTCTAGCTGTCACATCCTTCTTCTTTCCTTGTATTCTGAAATATTTATAATGCATTTTTTTTTCAAATCAAAGCAAGTATATGTACGGCGACCCCTGCTCGCCAGCCGCTCTGTCCGGCGATCTGCGCATGTGCAGATCGCCCAAACCTGGCTCTTCCGGGTTACAATCTACTCACCATGGGCAAGTAGATTGTATTATTTGTCGAGCCCTGCTCTATTTCCCTCAGTTTTCTGTTGTGTAACTTAAGCCAAAAACTTGCTTCTGCTAATCATGTCATGTTTGTTCTATTGCTTTCTTGGGATTCAGCTTTCTGTCCAGAACTCATGATCTGTGACTACTATTGTCTTTGTCAGACTGAAAACCCCTCCCCACAGCAACATGATAGAAAACCTGCAGAAAGCAGCTCAAATGGCCAATTCCCACATGAAGTGGGATAAGTAAAAAAGCTGCAGTATGGATATAGTGTCAAATCTAGGGCTGTTGGTATGTGTATTTTTCCCATACTGCTTTGAGCTGTCCGATTTAGCTCCACAACTGTTGGAGCTTGTTCCCAGAACCACAAGCAATGTCTCATCCTGCATATTCAATACTCTGTATAGAAAAGGGTTTATCAAAACTGAATTTACATAGATTACAGTGTCTTCTACAACCACAAACCCAAAAGTGATCCTTTTGCTGAAACCTTTTAATTACTAAGCACTGTACTTTTATCCTGTAAAGGTGTTTTACAGTGTATACTGAAGGGCAACAATTAGTGTTGATGAGGTTTCCACCTTTCAGTGAAGAAAGTCATTACTACTGCATAAAGTAGATACCCAAGAAGAATTATGAATGTGCAAGCCAGTGGTCCAACACAAAACCAGGATGCAAAGAAGTATATCATACACAAGGAAAGAAGAGTCCTGTAGCTAGCCAGAAATCTCAGACTGATCCTTGGTTGCGGAGAACGTCTTGATCTTTGTTTCAGTACTGGGCTATGTCTGTTCCTCTCTGCAGGGAATGGGTTGGTAAGATGATAGCGACACAATCTGCCAATAAAGTCTTCCCTAGAGCAGAGAATCTCCATTTGATCAGCAAACTAAGGTAAGAAAAACTTAAAGTCAGTAACAGAACAAGAAAAATGTAAGCAAAATCCATAATTTATTTTTTAAGGTCACACTGGAAAATTTTTTGTATTTTGATGTCTATTAAGGAAATAGGAAAGAGGATTATAGCAATTAACTCAGCACTCATATGTATTTCAAAATATAAAATTGTTCCAACAAAAAAATACACGTGTATTGTAGTAATTCTGCTCATTTACTATTAGTGGTACAAAACACTAAACCAAGAGAGGGAAATCTGGAATAACAACAGAAGTCGTGCCGCAAATCTTATGTCATGACACAGTGGAGAGAGGACTAACCAGCACATTCCAAGGCAGATCTTAAAGGAGTAAGAGGCAGGAGGAAGGAATAAAAGTGATTAACCCTTTTCCTGCTTATTTTGACATCTAGGAAAAGAGTGTTTTTTCATTATGGTTGCATGTGCTAATGTGATTCTGAGAAGGATATTCCTTCTACCTTATTTACCATGAACAATACATTTCAGTGTACTGACCATTTCTGATTTCAAGAGAATGTTGTGACATTTGCTGTGACTCTTGAGCAATAGGAGAAAAAAAAGTGATTCCAGGTTAAGAGAGCCCTATGGAGTATCTGCAAACTCATGTAGACGTCACATTAACGGTGAGAGTATAAAGCAAGTGTGTAGGCTGTACAGAGTCAGAGGGAGAATAGGAATACGCAACTGAAAAGAGAAAGCGACGTCTCACTGGACTTACTCTTTGATTAATTGCTGAGGATAACTGGAAGAACAGTCGCACTAGAGTGGCATTTTCATAACTTCTAATGGGCTGGAGCTCAGTATCTCCCTGGTACTCTATCTCAAACCTGCGCAAGCCATTTATGATCTACGAACAAGAAAGAAAATCACATTAACGATATATGAGAGAGAACTGTCGGTCTGTCCAAGAACTCCTCCTCAATGGTAAGAGCTAGGACCACCAAATTCAGTAGGCAGCTTCCTCTTATCATAACTTCAACACGGTCAGGTTTGGTTGTTCCAGGACAAGAGGGGATTTCCTCTCAAAACCAAAAGGAAAAGAGACAGAATCACCAAATCAAGTACAGTCCTCCAAACGGATATGACTAATGTTGAAAGAGGGTTCAGGGCAGGCTCAGGCTGGCTCTGCAGAGTGCCTTCCCCCCAGCTGTGGCCCCAGCCATGACACCCAACCTAGAGCTGCTGCTGCTAGGGGATAGGTGGTCCCTTCCCTGGCCCCCACCTAGCCTAATCTGGACCTACCCCAGTCGGGGAACATGGATCCCTCCCTCAGCTGTACTTGCTGCAGCTACGAAGAAGCACTTCTCACCTGGCCCCAAGCTGCGGTGGTTAGAGCAAGCTGGGATACTCCTCTCTTCCTGGGGCAGCCTGAAAACCGAACCCCTCATCCCAGCCCCACCCCAAAGCAACGGTTCAAATGAAGCCTGGACATTCCATTTTATTTTGCAAAAAATGGAAATTAATTAAGGACCCAAGTAACACTGGGTAAATATTCTAGTACTTTATAGCTCAGATCTGAAATGCATTGATACTGGTCTCTCTCCTCTCATCTCTGACAAGCTATTTATTCTGCTGTAGAGGCATAGGCTGCTTTCTTAAACAGATGCTCTAGAACTACTGGGCTGGAAGGTTTCTCTCTTACCTGATACCTGCCAAGAGGCGTAAGAATTAGTCCTGTCTCACTCTCAACGCAGTCTGGAAGTTGCTTCTTTCCATTCTCATCCTGAGCTGTTCCACAGTTCATCATCAGCTGGGTCAGCTGGGCTTCATTCAGCTAGTCAACAAGATCAATTTCTTCATAATTACTCGGTTTAACCACCTTTTTCTGTTCTATTTCCCTATTCACCAGCTCCTGACAACCACAAAGCCAGTGACTGGCAACAGAACAGGAACTGAAAACAATCCATTTACCAGACTACAATACAAATTTAAAAAGTGACTAACTACTTAGATGGCAAGCCCTGGCAGACAGAAGAATTGTTTGCTCAGTGCATCCTGGTTTCTCCCAGCTGTTACTAAGTTCTATTTTCTCTCTTGCTATATGCAGACAGAGCTGTAAACAGAGGAGTTTGAGTGGGAGTTCTGTTGGAGGAGAAGTTTGTATTTGGTTTTGTATTTGTATTGTTTGTATGTGTAGAGGCTTGTAGGGGCAGTGTGCTGGGAAAGAAGCTGAGCTCTGATTAGGGGGTGGGCCTTCACTGATTAGAGGTCCTATAAAGGTAGCCTTCCAGTCAGGCAGCGGCACAGACAGCAGCAGCGGCGCAGGATCCAGCAAACAGAGCGGTCAACAGGGGAGTTTGAGTGGGAGTTTGGACTGTAGGACTCGTTTAGGGTTTGTTTTTGCCATAGGGGGTGTTTTGGGGATTTTTTGTGTGTGTGTGTTTGCTGGACTAACAGGATTTAGGTGAGAAGGCTGATTAACACAGAGACAGCAGTGGCCATAACCCAAGCAGTGGCGGACACAATGAGAGTGAGTGGATGTGGCAGCTGTGGTATGTATATGATTCTGGAGGGGGTACCTGAAAAGAGTTTTGTTTGTATGAAATGCCGCCTAATAGAACTGATGGAAGAAAACATCCGAGGATTGGAGATGCAGGTGGAAACTCTGATCGAGTTTAGAAGGGGGTTTGAGCAGATGATGGAGCAAAGGCATGAGGTGACTGAAGGGGAAAGCTTAGACATGCAGACTGAAGCAGGATCAAAGGCCTCTGAGGAGGGACGGCTGGGCGAAGAAAATGGACAGTAGAAGCATGTGACTATGAGAACCAGGCAGAGGAAAAGATGGGCCAGTGAAAGAGAAATAGAGCTCAAGAACAGGTATGCGGAGTTGGAGAATGGAGAAGGGATATAGCAGGTGGCCACTGAAGGTGAAAAGGCAAGGAAGAAGAGAAGAGTGGCTAGTCCCATACATAAAGGGGAGGAGTCGAATGGGAAAACACCAATGATGAGCACCAGGAGGATACAGGATGGGTTGAAGTTAACAAGAGAAGATAGGAATGGAAAGGACTTGCAGCCAGAGGAAACAAGGGATAGACCAGAGAATCGCACTGTCACCAGGAAAAGGCAGGTCTACGTGATTGGGGACTCCTTATTGAGAAAAATAGGCAGGCCTGGAACCAGAGCTGATCCAGAGGCAACGCTAAAATGGTTTTACATGTAATCATTACAATATCTCAATAGTAGTAATTGATTTTTAGAGTGTATTAGTGTTTCCTGATTCATCCAAATAAGAGAAGGAGGAACAATAAAAATTGTATAAGAAAATTCTACAAAATAAAGGATGAACAGTTATGTATAATCTATAAAGCGGATTCCCTATACTCTCCTGGCTTTTCTTTTTTGCCCTGAAGCTTTCTCAATAAAAGCTGTTCCTATAAAAACTGTCCCTTTTGCTTGGACAGAAGTCTCTGATTTCCATTCTCAGAATTGTTGCCTTGGTGATCAATAAACCTTCATTTGTGTGATGTTAGCCAGGATGGGTAGGAATGGTGTCCCTAGCCTCTGTTTCTCTGGAAGTGGATGACGAGAGGGATCACATGAGGATTACCTGTTATGATCCCTCCCTCTCGGGCACCTGGTGCTGGCCACTGTCGGCAAACAGGATACTGGGCTAGATGGACCTTTGGTCTGACCCAGTACGGCCGTTCTTATGTTCTTACCAAACGTAACTGCATTGGGAAGAGTTAAGTTTGATTTGACTGACTTTGTCCATGCTCTTTTCAGAATTTTGCGATACTGACTCATCCCAGAATTATTTCCATCAGTAGGTGAGCATTTGTGTATTGATTCATGCTTTTTTTAAAAATGGTCACATGACCAATACCAGTGTTATGACTTTTTGAACCCACTGCCGGTTATAATACTGCTTGAAATATCATCTGCTCAAAGATTAATCGTTTTGACAAAAAAAGAATTGTTGTTGTCTCAACCTATTTCAGTCTTTCATTGCTATGATTTTATAGCACAGTGAAGTATTTGTCTGCACCAGTGGTTCTCAAACAGTGGCCTGTGGACCACTAGTTATTTGCAGCTGCCTTCCAGGTGGACCATATCTCGAGCTCAGCCCCCCCCCCCCCCCCCCCCCTTTTCCCTCCCCCAACCACACCAGGAGCCACCCTCTATGTAGCCTATCCCCCGGAAGAACTCTGTGAGGGTGGGACTGAAAATAACGTCCAGGGAAGGGGGCTTGCCCCCACCACCACCCTCAACCCCTGCTTTGCCACTTTGCCTGGGGTTCCCCATCCAGTACTTCTCCCCCAGGACTTTAGCCTGAGAGAGCCATATCTACATGCAGAGGGCCCCAATGGTCAACTTACCTTCATTGAACTGATTCCCAACAGATTGGTAGCTGTCCAGCGTGGCAAGCTTCCACACTGATGGCAACCCACTTCTCTAGAGGGATGGTGGGTCTCATCTGGGCATCCCATTGTGAGAGGGCAGGGGCAAGCCAGGCACACAGCACCAGAAAGATCTCCTTTCTCATGCAGAAATTGTGGAGCCACAGCTGGTCAACCCACCACTCCATAATGAGCTGATCCCACCTGTTGGAACTGGTGTCCAGCTTTTAGAACCTGAGGAACAGCTGTACAGGGGGGTCCCTTTAAGCACAAGTGTCAGAAAGCCTCAGGCAGCAGCTCCAGGAAGTAACTGCATCCTGATGCCTTGCTTGAAGTGGTCCAGGTGGTCTTAAATGCGAGTTAGAGTTCAATCAGTGTGAATGCTCTATTTCGAAAATGCTAAGCACTATTTCAATGCACTTTTTGTGTATAAACGTGCTATTTTGAAATAAGCTCTTTTGGAAAATAAACTCCAAAATAGTTTATTACAAAATAAGTGTGCAGTGTAGATGTACCCATAGTGTGAATTAAGTTAATAATTCCAGTCCACCCAATAGAATTACACTAGTAATGATCCTAACTCATCAAATGAGATTAATCGAATTAAAATAATTTAATGATAATATTTCTATTTATTTACTGTATAACTCATAATATATACCTTTTTAACTCTGTGGCACTCTCTTATTTTGTATTCCTCTCACTACTTACATAAGAAAAAGTTATTGGTTATTTTTCATTAAAAAAAATTAGACACTAAAGACATAGAAATTAAATTTAGAACAAGAAAAGGAAGAGGATTAAATGAGACATCTTCCCTTCTCTGTGAAGCACTCAAGCAAATACCAAATAAAATAAAAAAACCTTTATTTGCATGCCATGTTGTTCCTCTCCACACCAAGTTGTTTTTCATTTTCACATTGCCCTTTCTGGATCTGATAGGATGTAGAAAGAAACACACAATAATACTATGACATTTTCTGGCACTATTCCAGCCCAATAAGACATAAAAAGAGACACAAAATATTCCCCGAGTTCCCTTCCATATGAGATTTCCAGACCAGTTTTGTAGACATAACACCTTAGTTCGTATAAGTAAGGATAGAACCATATATCTAAGAATCCTACCTTCCATAAACAACTGCTTTTCCCTCACTTTTGTTATTGAAAATTATTTACGTGAAATTTTAAATAAATCTTGAAACTGAGGATACAGAAGATTGTCTATACTAAAGGAATGAAGTCAAGTATATTTTCTATACCGTGTCTGTTTAATGTGTCCGTGCCAACAACCCAAATTTGACCTTTATCATACATTGGATTCAACATTTGGTATTGGCAAATCAAGAGATATAGATCCATTTAAACAGAAGAATCTCTTAAATCTCAATCCTCCTCATCATTCCAGCTTTATTCCCTGAGCTCTCCTTTGTTTTTCTCTTCTCCTAACTTTCCCATCCCAGTTTCCTGTCTTTCATGGAAAGAAATTTTCTATTTACATGCTTTCCACTACTAACTAGGCCACTCATCAGGTGTCCTAGTTGTCCTCCATCTCAATAATTCCTTTTGAGAGAGTCATCAACAGCAAGTAAAATAGGCCAGGATTTTGTGGGATTTTCAGAGGAAAATGTTATATATTATTATGCACTATGCAGGTTCATCAGTAATCTTCCTGGACTTCAGCTGAGTAGCACATACCAACTCCTCAGCTACCTCAGAACCTGCATGGCGCATATCAAAAGCTCAGGTTCTTTGGAAAAAAAATCTTTTTGCATGGGTTGGTTTGGGGCCTCAGTACAAGAAGCATGACTGGAAGGGCTCTGGCAGCCCATGGCTTTGTCCAGCCCAGGGATTCCCTGGATGCTGTGGGGTGGGAGCTAGGGTCTCATGGTGGGATGCATGCGAACTCCTGGAGGTAGACATAGTGTTTCTCTGGAGGGAACACCCTCAGGGCTTCATCAATACCAATGTGGACACAAGAACAAATGGATATAAGCTGGCTAGTAGGAAGTTTAAACTTGAGATTAGATGAAGGTTTCTAACCATCAGAGGAGTAAAGTTCTGGAACAGCCTTCCAAGGGAAGTCGTGGGGGCAAAAGACCTATCTGGCTTCAAGATAAAGCTAGATGGGTTTAAGAAGGGGATGGTTTGATGAGGTAACTTGATCTTGGCAATTAATTGACCTTTCACTATCAGTGGTAAATAGGCCAAGGGTGGGAAGATAGGAGTTATTATAGAGAACTTTTTTCTGGGTGTCTGGTTGGTGAGTCTTGCCCACATGCTTAGGGTTCAGCTGATTGCCATATTTGGGGTTGGGAAGGAATTTTCCTCCAGGGTAGATTGGCAGAGGCCCTGGAGGTTTTTCGCCTTCCTCCAGCATGGGACACGGGTCACTAGCGGGAAGATTCTCTGCATCTTGGGGTCTTTGAACCATCGTTTCAAGGACTTCAATATCTGAGATATAGGTGAGAAGATTATTCTAGCAGTGGGTGGGTGAGATTCTGTGGCCTGCATTGTGCAGGGGGTTGGACTAGATGATCAAAATGGCCTTTCTGACCTTAAAGTCTATGAGTCTATAAGAGAACTTATGTAAAGTCTCTCTGCTTCCTTTTAGGTTAATGAAAAAGGCAGCCTCTTTCTAGTATCTCCTATTAGCTTTATCGCCTTGTGCACACCCTTTTGCATTTCTATGAAACCTTCTAATGTAAGATGCTAAAGTGTTTTAAAAACACTCAGCCATAAAATGCCCCTTGGTAGGCAGGAAAAATATGCGATTTTTAAAGTGGTCACTTATAGCAAAGTACCTAGAGTAAGATAGCTTGGCCTTGGCATTCACTAGTGCAAAGCACCCACAATTCTAGCAATAATCAAGCTGTTTACAAGCACTCAGCACCTTGGAAAAAAAAATCCTGAAAGTGTCTCAAGATGGCCATTTTTGAATAAGTGGCCATTTTTGAAAATTTTGCCCTAAGTGACTTGATAATGATCATACTGCAAGGAAGTGAGAAATCTGGAAGTAGATTGGGAGTCGGGATTCCTCCATTCATGCTACTTCCTAGTGACAGCACCTAGAAGGAAGTTACATACCCGAAATATCTGGCATAAGTACTCCTGTGCCTTCTCCAAATATTCATCTGTTTTCTTGATGCTGTCTTGCCCAATTTCATCTAGGTCATTGCCTGTATAGCAACCATTCATGTCAGAAGGGACAAACCTAAACCAGGATAGGAAAGACTGACTAGCCATGGTCTCTGCAGAATGGTCCGATATGGATTTGGCTGTTTGCTGGGCTTGGCCTATTAACTGGGCCAGCCTCAATACCTGAAAAACAAAAAATGGGAGGGTGACTAAATAAAGCAACAGAATAAAGGACACAAATCAATAAGCACGCACCAGCATGTGCACACAGGTCCGATGGTCAGAACAGAATCAGTACATTAACTCAATTAGCTGAAAATGGACTTGTGCTGGTAGCAGTCATGCACCCCATCTCCAACAGAGTAGGGAAGTTATAGCAGCTGAAGTACAGAGGGGAATGGGAGTGTCCCTCTTCATCCTTTGAGATGCATCTTCCTTCAGTTTATTAGCCTGGTGCTTAGGGAGAGTCTCTCTCTCTCTGCTAAACCATTGGTGATTGCCTTGCTGCTGGCTATTGATTGTTAACACCATGAATCAGAAAGACACAACCACTGCTGAGAGATGAAACAAGTACATGGCCATAGCAGATTGCTCCAAAGCAGTATGCCTAGTCTACCTCACTCCTCAAGGCTGGAAAGCAATCTGCACATTTCTATTTTAATACTTGTCCTGGGCTTTCCAATCCGACCCTACAACCAACAACTCCTCTTGATTTACTCTCTACTTTTAAACAGATACAATTTCTCCCCTCTCATGTGACAGAGCAGATATTCACTGTGGATTCATTTTCTTCACATCAGCAATAAAGGGCTTATGTGGAGCAAGTAAGCAAGATAATTTCTTACCAAATTCCTGACTTCTAGACCAAACATCTGCTTGTACTGGGAGTCCTGTCCTTCCAGGCAGTAAACATGACTCTTCACCTTAAATGAGGCATCTGTGATTGCTGGAGGCCATGATGACAGGAAGCTCCCACCAAGAGTGGGGCTCATAAAAATTCGGTGTTGACGGTGAGGGATAACAAGTTCCGGCTCCAGGAATAACTGCTCCCCTAGAAATGGGGTAAGATAATGTGGGGTGGAGAAGACTAGGTTACCTTCCTTCTGATCTGGAGTTCTAGCAATACAGGTTTTTAACTACTCATTGTAACAAGGCTGCTAGATTATTTGGTGGGAGGAGAGAGGGCAGAACCCTAGTTATAAATTCAAGTTTTTCACTTGTAAAGAATAAAGTGCTTTCATTATTATAATGCCTCTAAAAGTCTATAGACAGAGTACTTCTGGGTCCTGCATGGCTGGTGGAAAGGATATTATGATCCCCATACCTGTCCAGCTGAGCATGTTCCAGCACCTGAAATTGTTGCTGCCCAAACTCTTCTGTCCCCACCAAACCTTTCCTCTCCCTGCCCACCATATCCTAATACTCTCAACATGCACCTTTCAAGACACTTTAAACTGATATCTAGAACTTGGGGTGCAAGTTTTTGATAACTAGCCATCTTGCTGAAGTCTGAGTAAATATATACATTCCTGAAGGTATTACAAAGTTTTACTTTTGAGTTAATAACCAATCACTACAAACAATAAAGAGCTGGCAGATAGAAGGAGTTTTATGTTTACTGAAAATATTCTTTCCACACTAGTTAGTACAAATAAGAATCAGTGAGACTGATTAAATGAAAATTAGAAAAGAAAAAAGAAAAAATTGAATATACGTTTTAAACCAACACTGCAAATAGGAACAAAGACATCAGATCACTGAATTTCAATGTCACACGAAGCAGACAATTCATATTTCTCCACGCTTCTGAGGCAAGAGTCACCACAGGACAGATAACTGCAAGGAGGCAACATGATATTCATGTACCTTTCTGGATCATTTCAGCGAGGTTGGGCTGAGCAAAGACCTTGGCTACTCGGAATACCATCAGGGCATTTTTAGCACTGACCAAATCCGTGCGGAGAGCTCGGTTCAGAAAGCTTACAAATAGCTTGGTGTACAGCAGCAGGTTCTCTTGAATGAAGGGAGCCCTGCCAAAGTGATGGTGGTTTTATGAATACAGATATTAAAATGAGTAAGTATAGTCAGTCTTCTGCCAAATAAATAATCCCATAGAATATATTTTAGAACTCAACCAGAATGATCTCATCCTTTCCATTTCCCACAAAGACAAAAGAATGTCCCTCCTTACTCAAGAGTTTTTACTTATCCATAGCAATCTCTGACATTGTGCTGGCAGATATCTAGTTGCATAGATGTGTAACGGGAGGACTTCAGAGGCAAGCTGAAATCTCATGTGTGGTTTCTATCAAAAACAATGACTTTACCTCCTCCCAGATAAATATCCATGAACCAGGGAAACTAGTGCAGACTCTCCATGAAGCCCACCCTCACTGCTAAATGGTTTGTGTCACTACAGGTCTTAGAGAAGGAGAAGGTGCCTCAGATTAGTTGGTAAAGTCAACGCACAGTCACTTGCAGAACTCATGGCCGAGGGATGTTGTAATGGTCAAAACTATAACAGAGTTAAAAAAAGCTGGATAAATATATGGAGGATAGGTCTATAATAGATGGTCAGGGATGCAAAACCATTCTCTGGGCATCCCTAGCCGCTGACTGCCAGAAGCCAGGAGCGGACAAGAGGATAGATCTCTCAATGACTGCTTGTTCTGATCATTCATTCTGAAACATCTGGTATTGGCAGAAGACAGCGTTAGAAGGCACCAGAGGTCTAACCCAGCATGGCTGTTCTTATGGGTCAGGATTTTGGATTCCACACACTATGCAATGAGCAGTGTAGTTTGTAATGCTGAAGCCACCTAGAAGGAACTGGATGGTCATACAAACCACCCTATACTGGAAACCTACTGATCTTACCTTCTTACCTACATACCTCTAGCTTCCATCCAGGACATGTCACATGATACACTGTCTACAGCCAAGCCCTAAGATACAATCAAACAGACAAAGACAAACACCTACAAGAACTTTATCAGGCATTCTTAAATACCCACCTGGGGAAGTGAGGAAACAGACTGACAGAAACAGACAAGTACCCAGAAGCCACCTACCTCAAGACAGGCTCAACAAAGAAAACAATAGAACATCACTGGTCATCACCTACCACTCCCAACTTAAACCCCTCTAGAGCATCATTGAAAATCTACAGCCAATCCTGGAAAACAATCCCTCACTCTCACAGACCTTGTGAGACAGGCCAATCCTTACCTACAGAAAGCCCCCCAACCGTAAGCAAATACTGACCAGCAGTCATACACCTCACTCAGAAACACTCAGCCAAGAACCTATTTCTGCAACAAACCACACTGCCAACTTTGTCCACCTACAAGCGACACCATCACAAGAGCTAACCACATAACCCAAAACACTAAGGGCTCATACTGCACATCCTCTAATGTGATGTCTGACATCAAGCACCAACAATGCTTCCTCTGCAATGTATAGTGGCCAAACTGGACAGTCTCTACGACAAAGGATTAATGGACACAAGTCAGATATCAGAAATGGTAACACACAAATCTGTTCGAGAACATTTCAACCTCCCTGAACATTAATAATGGATTTAAAAGTAGCCATTATAGAAAGGAATTCTATCACTCAAGTACAGAGGGAGACTGCTGAACTGGAATTAATTTACAAGTTCAACACTAACAACTTGGGCTTGAATAAAGATATTAACTGGTTAATGCGCTACAAAGACAATTTCCCCCACCTTTGATGTTCATATTTACATATCAAAAGTTATGAATGGGACACATCCAGCCTGATGCAATTAGTTACATTAACACTGGTCCTACAGTGGAGTGATTTTGCTGAATATCTATCGATCAATCTAGATAGAGCTCATTATATATTAGATTTGTTAGTCTCAAGGTGCCACAGGACTGCTTATTGTTTCTAGAGAGACTTTGTTGAACACATGAGAAGGGGGGAAAAAAAAAAAAAAAAAGACTCCAAGGAGACCACACAGAACAAACAGTGAACAGGGCTTATGCTTCTCAATATAACTTTAAGCCAAAGAAACACTTTTACTCATGTCAAAATGATAGAT